TTGGGTTTAATTTTTTGATTTTATACAATTACGTAACATATTGGAATTGAGTAAGACATTCTATTCTTATGGAATTAAAACTTGGCGTTAGTTATTGATATCAAATATTTAATTAATTTAATACAAACGCTACACGATACATATGATTTGGATAGAATAAGGTATTCTATTATGGAATTATAACTTGGCACCATTTATTGATATCAAAACTTTTATACACATGAAACATACAATTTTAGTTAAATAATTAAAGTTTATTTTCAATTAAAGACTACATTACTTGAGTTTTATTTTTTAATTGTACAACAGTTTTATAAAGATATGTATCATTTAGCTATTTTTTTCTAATTAAAGATATAGAACCACTGGGTTTTATTTTTTAATTTGGTATAATAATTTTTTGTTCAAAAAGTATGCCTATACTTGACACCTTTTTTACCTTTTTTTAAAAGGTAATTTTTTTAATGATTAATTTTACTAAAGAAATATACTTTTACAATTTGTTTTCGAATTGTATCAAAGTGTTACAATTTTTGTGTTAATTTTTACATAATATATTGTGTTACTATCTAACATATTTATCGTGTGTTAAATTAGCCCAAAAATTTAGGTGGAACATTTGGAACACATAAAACATGTTAAATATATAACACAAATTTTCGAACTATGTACTAAAATATTATAAATATGTAAAATATCATGACCAATGCTTCTACTTTCAGTCTAATCTATAAAAAAATTCTTTTTACAGCACCACCGCGAGTGCAAGCGCTTGCAAAAAATCGCGATCAGCTAAATGGGACTGGAGCGGCTATTAGAGCTTACGCTCTTCAACTTGCGGCAGACAAGACTACAACTTTCTCGCAGAATATCGACAACTTTATTCAATGCACGCGAGAGAGCAAGGAAGCGATCCCGCATGTGGTGATGCGCAACATGCGGCAATTCATGTCGGGCATGAAGAATTATTTGGTAAAACATGGTGAGCGTGGATTCGAGAGGGAAGTGGAAAAGGAACGATTGAAATTACGACCGAACGAATTCCTTAATCTTGACGCGATTCTCGAGGATGTAATGATGGGTTTGGTGGTACGGCCTCTCCGAGAACATGTGTGCCGACTGTTTATCGAGCATTATTTCGCCACCGGGGCGCTGCAGACTCTAACAGAGAACATCCAGCATGCCCAGGGCAAGACTATTCACGATCTCGGTGTGCAAGTAAGTATAGATTATAGATCTTTAAAATATATATATAGATCTACAATATGTAGAACACATTTACATGAAAAAATATAAAGAACAAAACTTCAAAAAACATCAAAATATAGCTTCATATTATATTAAAGAAGAAGATAAAATTTGTCAAACTTATTAAATTTAGAGTATTTTCCGTATATAGTCGAAGATTATACCCCCTTCGGAAGAAAATCTGGAGCGCATTCTCAAATGCATCGAGCGATTGCAGAGAGTCGATTCTCCACTTGAGAAATTAGAACATCTATTGGCTGCTATCTCGACCATCTTCAATTCTGTAAGTTTTTTTTACAATTTTCAAACATGTTAATTGTTTGAAAAACATAAGAAACATAAACATAAAGATATATTTTTTATTAAAATATCTTTAATATTTATTAATATATTTTTGTCATTTTTATAAATTGCTGAAATATGTTACATTTACATGATACATTTAACAATTACACGTGTTTTATATTAATTTAATGTTTTTTTTACATTTTACAAACATAATATGAAAAATAAGTAAAATTAGTAATTAATAACCAATAATGCAATACGAAGATATTCCTTAATTGTAATTTTGTAGGTGAAGCAAGCTAACTCAGGCAGACACGTTACGCTGGGCGCTGACGATCTTTTACCGCTGGTAATCTGGGTGTTGGTACGCGGTAAAATAGTTGATGCGGAGATCGAAGCTGAGTATATGTGGGGTCTACTGCATGCTTCCCTTTTAAGTGGCGAGGGTGGCTATTACCTGACAACGTTGTCGAGCGCAGTACACGTTTTAAAGACTTTTAAATCCAGTCAGAGCACCATGACCACATTAAATGTAAGTAATAAATATTGTTGATTTTATTTTATAAACTGGATTAAGTTACTGTAGATTATAATAAAATAAATATAATCATACTTAACTGTACACATAAGAAATAAATATAATCATACTTGTCTGTTATATACTTAAGAGCAATTAATCTCATGTCACTATCTTAGAATAAAATTTTTTACCTAGTTTCTAAGATTAATAGATATAACTTGAATGTGTAATTTTGAAACTCATAAGAAAATATCGAAAAGCAACAAGCATGAACTAAGACAAATATTGACATGTGATGCACTCATCATTTTTGGACTTAAATTCCTAGACAGAAAATTCTACGCAAGAAGCAGTTTATTACTTATATTTCTAAATAGAAACAATATACAAACATAATTATTATTTTACTATATCTTGAAAATTTTGTGAAAAATATAACATTGATAGTATATAGGCAATAATAAAAATAATTGCAATACTTAAAATAAATATTTATAATTTACTTTATAATTTACAGTGCATACAGTCTGTCATTTAAGAGGATCCTAAACCCTAGATCAAACTCCAAAAATCCGCTGTTTTACCGACAATTTATGAGTATGTATGCGTGCGATATTGATGTAGTAGTATGTAGTGCTGTGTCACGTTTATTACCACATCAATATATCTCACGCATACATATACACAAATTTGTCGGTTACTAATATATCTTTATTTAGGCTTCTATACTTAATTCTAA